GCCTTCTCATGCATTTGCCTAAAAAGTTTTGTTTTGGATATGAATGAAAATCTAATTCTGAACATCTTTTCTTTTTTAATGTTTATTAATTTATTTTGAAAGAGATAAAGATGGAGAGAGGGCGAGCACAGGGGTGCATCCGTGCAGGAGAGGGGCAGGGAGGGAGGGAGAGAATCCTAAGCAGGCTCCATGCTGTCGGCAGAGTCCAATGTGGGGCTCGAACTCATGAACTGTGAGATCATGACCATTAGCTGAGATCAAGAGTAAATCAAAAGTCGACACCTGACTGACTGAACCACCTGGGCACCCCCTAATTCTGAACGTCTTGATCTCAGATTCCCTTCATCTCCAGGCAAGGCCTCCGCAGGTGATTCAGGCCATGATGACAGTCTATCCAGGTCCCCTAGGAGGCTAGGCCCTATATATGGGTCCTAGTCATGGGCTCTGGTTAACACCTGTCCTGCTGTAGGCAAATGTGGGTTTTGTCCCTTGATCGCACGTAAGAAAGTAACTGTGAAGGCAAGTTGGGTGTGGAGTGCCACAGAAAGAAGTGTCACAGAAATGCCCAATCTTAAGTCTGCCCAAGCTGGCTGGGCCCACTGAGGGCCCCTGAAGCCCTGTGGGACTGGCACTGTACTCAAGGCTGACTTGAACCTGATTCACTAAAAGACTCATGGAAGGGCACAGCTCCTGCAGAGGGTGCGGGACCAGGAAGAGAACATTCTAGTTGGTACCAACACGTGGGCAGTACCCACTCGTCATCTGGCCAGTGCCAATGTGCTGTGGACATGCCAGCATAGCAGATGAAGGACGGCCAGTGGCATCTAAGGCAGCAGGGTGCTGGCAGCGAAGGCTTCCTGGAGGAAGGGACAGCAGAGCTGAGGCTGAAGGGAGAGGAGGACCCAGCAGCAGTGGGCAGAGAGCACAGCATGCTGGGGCACAAGGTAGCAAAGGCTGAGCTGACAGCAGATTTCTGGAACACAGACAGGAATTCAGGAGAGTGGAGGGTGGGTGACCAGGGCTAAGAGGACACAGGCTACCAATGCTACTTATACATGGCAACATTATAGATTGCAGGGAGCCCACCAGGGGATCCTGGGGTGGGGGTGGGGGACTGCTGCACAGAGGGGCTGGCTGAGCCAGGGAGGTGGCCTGGAAGTCATACTCGGGACCCAAATGCCCAAGGGGGCTCCAAATGAAGCCTCCACAATTTCAGGAACATTTCTGAGGCAATCCAGGCAAGGCCCTGACTGTCCCCTTCAGGCACATGGGGAGAGGTAGGAGAGACATTCTGGCTCTTAGGAGCACTTCTGCGAGTCTCTGAAGCGACACAGAAGCATGGGGTGCTGAGACTCTAATCAAAGTGGCCCCTGGCAGCAGTTGAATACCTGCCTGTTGCGCTGCTCCAAGGT